GCTCTGTGTGCTACCTTACAGTGCAATATTTCCAGGGGTGCCACTAGTTGTCATGCAGCAGCACTGCTGTGTCTGTTCCACTCGTACCAGCACAACACAGACTAATATACCACCACCACGTCAATGTCACTGCTGTGCTGTGAATGAACCACCCCTTAAATAATACCTGCTCTGTGGGGGTCCTGTGGGGGTCCTGACCTTTAAAAAACAGATTTAAGAGAGAGATTTAAGACAAACATTGATAATTTGGAGATGAATGGACTTATTTGCAGTTATAAGCACTCAGCTGGTTTCCTCATACGTTTAATCTGCAACAACTCATGAAGCTGTCTCATTCTCCAGCGTCTCGTTCGAATTGTCCCGTTCCACCTTAAATGGTGCAGCTGTACAATCTGGCGCCGCAGGCACCATTTAAGGTGGAACGGGACAATTGGAATGAGAAGCTGGAGAATGAAAAGTGACTTCAGCCTCATAAAAAGTCAAACATTGAGAGACATTTTACAAGAAACTCGCAAAAAAGTTTCCTGAGATGCGAGAAAAGTGGCTACAGCTGAGCTAAAAGTTAAAGCAGAGCAAAGTAAGTCTGCGTTTGTGTTTGTTATATTTTTAGCCTGTACTATCAGCACATACTGAGATATACTTACAGCCAAGATGGTAAAACAGACATAAATATTTGGCTCCCAAGGTGGATTCATTTTTTGTTGAAAGGACAAAATGGCTCTTCTTAACATTTCGGTTGCGACCTCTGAGCTAAGCTAACTATAGTAAGGGGTGATCAGTGCGTGCCTGTTTGCTCGAACTGCCCGCAGCTCAGTCAGGTTTGCACAGTCGCCACCAGCCCAGTTAACGACCGCGCTCTATGGTTCACAATTTGCGCGGATTGACTGAAGCCTGTAAGGAAATTGTAGTGAAAGTTTTCGCTATGGCTACAGAAAAATTTGTAGGTGCTACAGCTTCTAGCTACATTTCATAAAACTGTAGCGGCTACAACTATTAGCTACAGAAAATTGTAGTTAGCTACAAAAAGTAGTGCGCTACTTAGATACTGTCCCACCCCTGAGTAGAACTTATTATTACATCTAGTATCAAGAACTGAAGATTGTCAGACTCATCTGGGGATTTGTTTTCCTAAAATAAAATTATAAAAACTTCAAACATGAGAGGTGTGAGCAACAGTAAAGCAGTATTGATGCTGTTCCCAAAGTAATAGAACAATACTAAACCCAAAATTGGAAGTAGTGTTTAAATACTAATGACTAAAACGTTAGACTACTGAAATGCAGCCATTTCCTATTCAGACTTATTTTGGGGAGCTTTTTGCCCTCTATGTATATTTGGTATTTGAAACACATGTTCAGTGGGGTTCAGATCAGAATATTTACTTGATCAGCCAAGAACATCCCGCTTTTTGGACTTGAGGAACTTCATAGCTGCTTGAGGAGCATGTTGTAAGTTACTGGCCTGGTGAATGAAAATGACTAAGAATTCATGTAGCTGTTCCCACTGGTAGTCACATCATCATCAATAAAGACATGAGATCTGGTTCCACTTGCACACTCAAAAAAAAATAAAATAAATAAACAATTGACTTTACAAACTATGTTAACATTAAATAAATAAATTATGTTGTCTTTAAAGCTGCACTTTGTAAGTTTGGCAAATTAGGGAACTGGCGACCTCACTGGTGGACATATGTAACAGCATGAAACGTGCAGAACATTTTGTATCATGGGTTGTGCTGTGCTCCATAACTGGTGGCTAACCAACATTACATATGACAGCTGGGTAGCACATGTGTCCATTAGTTATAAAAGCCTCCACTCAGTCAGATATCTATTTAAGCAGTATTACCAAAGTATATTTTATATTGGTTGTGTTTAGTGAAGGAAACAGACGGTAGTACTGGAAATTATCTCAGAATAATGGCTAGCCTGGTTTATCAAACAATAGACGACGAACTCTGAAGCAAAAATAAGACACCGTTAACCAAGTAATAGGCTAACATTTGCAAATTAGCCAATATTAGCTAACAATACCTATACAGCTAAAACAACTTCACAATTACAAGTTTCCCAAGCAGAAAACAAACTATGAAGCAAAAAAGTCACCATTAGCCAAGTAATCAGCTAATGTTAGTGATTTAGCTAGCTAACATTAGCTATAGAGCTAAAACAACTTCACAATTACAAGAGTACATTGCATTACATTACAAGGGCAACATTTAGTTCCACAACAGTAATAATTTGGCTGGCTATTTTTGGTAGCTTGCTAGCAAACAACCAACATAACGTTCCTGTCCAGCAATAAAAAAGTCAATTCAGCATCAATCCTGAGAAACTTCAGGTCATGGAGTTGTCATCACCTCTGAAAAGCCAAGCAGATTCTGGTCTTAGCTTGAGCTCTGTCCGCGTCCCTTGTAGCTTGCCAGCTCTCTTCAGTTCTATGTTTCTGTGCTTTGGCCACAGGTGATGCTGCAGAGAATGACTCTCCTTCCTTTCACTCACTTTCAGCTCTGTACAGATCAGCACTGTGAGCCACGCGTCCACCAACATTGCTCAGGTAACCAGCCCATTAGTGGTGGACGTTCTTTTTGAGTATGTGAGTGTGATGTCATTATGTAAAGACGCCTGATGTGGCCTGAAAAACTCTTGCCAAATCTGACCTGATAGTTCTGACTTTTGAACGATTATTCCAGGCTTTACAGGGTGACTCGCAGCAGCACAAGAACGCCATATTTTAGCTATTTTTTCAATTTGACTTAGTAATGCAAATTCTTTTAATTTTAACAAACAATTCTGACATTTATGTAAAATGGACAGAAATTTATTTCAAAACATGAAAATGAATTCCATTCCATTAACCAAATAAATTGCACTGAGATGTTAAAATTTTGTTCTGTCAGCAGGTGAATTTTATGTTGAGTTAACAAAAACAACAAACAAAATTAACAAAGTGTGTATACTGACTCTATTTGATTGAATGGAAATGTGTGGCATAATTGAACTAAGTTTATACAACGATTTATTTTTTGAGCCCAGCCATACACAGCCACAGTACCATGTGTACTAGATGACATAGTCTGGTCTGGATCATGAGCTCATGAGCAACTCCATTCTCCTCCTCTTTTCTCACATTCTTGGTTTGCATTTATTTATTTATTCATTTTCAGGGGCAAACCCCAGGTACAAAAGCTACATATAGATTCAATGCCTTTCATTTGCTCTTGTGCACAAACTGTAGTGATGCCATGACACTCAGCTAGCCATGAAAGAGCAGAACAGCCAGTTGTCCAATTACTAAGATTTTAACTTCATGTAATTACCAAAAAGGAATTAAATAAAATGCTGTAACTCATCTAATGTATGCTAAAGGTAACAGTAACACTAAACTATGCTGGACTGAGATACAGAAACAGGGAGACATCTATACTCGGTCCACTTTCATGCTTATACCACCAGTAGGTCAGTAACCACAGACTGTATATTATAGTGCCAGCTGATACCACTGCCTATCCAGTTTACACAGTCTGAACAGTAAAAGCAGGTCAAACATAAAGATAATATTACAGCTACATTTCTGAAGAAATTTTCTTTATTGGCAGTGAATCAAGAGAAAGGCATATTAAGCAGTCAGTAGAAAAGCTGGCTCTACAGACAAGACCTGATTTGTGGTATTTATTTATTTATTAATTTTTGCCCACACTTTGTTTACAGCCTTAAGCTGGACGATTTGGAATGTGCCACCTTTCCACATGTGGCACTCTCTGTTAGGCCAATACCAGTTTAACAGCTCAAAACTTTTTACTTTAGCATTTAATGCTTGTATTACTTTCATTTCTAAATCATCAGTACTTCTTTTTACTTATCTCTGTATACTTACTAATTACTTATTTTCTACTTTTATGAATTAGATTGATTCGATGACTTCACTGCTATTTATGGGTTTTGTTCTGTGGTATTACGGTAGACTATTCCACTGTACACCCCCTACACATTCACAGTACACACGGTGTTGGGTGAACCCGCGGGGAATAAACGTGTGGAGGTGCTGTGATCCTTCACTCTGTTTTCCTCCTACCTGGCCTGCTGTTAGTGTGTGGGTGAGGGTGGACAACATGGGCAGGCTGCTGACTAGGTACAGAGGCTAAAGGAGAACCCTATGCTGACCACTTGTGATATTTTAAACATCTGGTATTTTTACATAAATTGCTATAGCTATATTGATTAAAAAAAAAAAAACAATAATGCGGTGGGTCCACCAGACCACTGAGTAACAAAAACATCAACACCACACAAGGGTTAATCATAGCATACGTTTGTTGTATTGTTCATTATAAAATCAGTTTGATACACTGCTGACAGACAGTATTCGCCTTTATATTGGGTGAACAATGTAGGACTCACAGCCCTTTTGTTCATCATCTCCTCACTTCTGGGCTGTGCTTAGTGTCAGCAGGGCTTGTTGTAACTCCACATAGGACATGTCCAGTGGAGTTGATGGAAAAGGGCCACTTTCACCACTTACTCAGAACAAGAAAAAAAGAAATAGAAAGAGCCGTATGACATTACATTATTACGGCAAATGCAAAACACCACGTAAATCCCCAGTGGATATTTATAATATTTTATTTATCGTTCGAAACTGCCCACCACACAGTACAGCGACAGACATGTTTGAGTACGCAAATACATCTGCAGTATAGTGCAAAAATATATATATTTCAATAAAAACGTTTGAAAATCACTTGAACTCTGAGCTGGTGTCTCTGTTTTGTTTTGTTAGATTTTTGTGCGAGCCGGTATTTTCATTTTGGTAACGACTTCCCCGAATGGTGCCTAACTCGAACATCACTGAAATTATCATTTATAACTACGTTTTCTGGGCAGCTTTAAAGTGAAAACATGTAGCGTGTCGTTTCTGGTGTCGGTTTTTGTTCGACCTGTTGGTGTGCAGTCTCGCCCCTGCTCGCAGTGCGCGGTGAGGCTGTGCAGGCACTGCTGAGGCAGCTAAAGCAGCAGCAGCGATATTGAAGGTCCCTATTTCAGACTCCGCTTTCTGTGGACGGAGAACGCGGCCATGGCGGATTACGATGCTTACGACGACCGAGCTTACGGGAGCTTCGGCGGCGGCAGAGGGTAAGAAAACACCGCAGGACGAGCACCGTAGGGCGTGTTTACACCTCACAGAGCGAGGCAGGCGGGCCGAGCGTGTCGCAGTTCGGTTGTTTTGTGCGGAGCGGAGGCCGAGGCCCAGGCGACGCGAGCGCGCTCTTCAGGCTGCGCGGCCCCGCCGGGATGAATGGGCAGGCGGGCGGCGGAGCGACGCGAGTCCGTGGACTCCCTCTGCAGCCAGATGTGGCGGAGGAGGCTCCGGGGTTGTTCTTACGACGTATTTGTTGTCTTAACGAGCCCCCGATGGGCGAAGCGGGCTGGATTCGGATCAGTTGTGGGGCTTGTTGCCAGCAAGGCAGTTGGCGCCAGGTATGGAGTCGGGATGAAGGAAAAAAACAGCCCACATGGGCTGCGCATAGCAGAGTCATCGTATTGGTGCATGTCTGTGTTTTCAGACGTGTTCACATGGAAATGTTTTCTCACAGTTTTGTTTGCAGCAGACTCGACTTTTATTGTTGTTTCTGCATGGCTGGAATCGTGCTAGCTAGCTAGGGTACGTGTTGGCTAATTGTAGCTAGTTAGCCCCCAGACACAGGTCTGAAGCAGGTCTGCACGGTGGCTGCAGTGGGCCTGGTCTGCATTACTCACGTCCCTCACGCATCCAACTGCAGCCTTATCGCGTTTAACTGTCGCTGTTGAGGAAAGTGAGCTCTGTTTGAGTCGCCACACTGAGGCTCACAGCACAAAGCCCACATTTCTGTACGTGACGGGGCTTTTGAACACGTGATTGGCCCTGAGTGCATCAGATCAAACCGAGGTTTATGAAGCTGGAGTCATCTTGTTATGTGCCAGCTTTTTGTTCAAAATTTCCCGTTCCACCTTAAATGGTGCAACAGTTGCGTTCCAGTGGCCTGAGGCGCCAGTATATAACAGCTGCATCATTTAAGGTGGAACGGGAAAATACGAGCAAGAAATTGGCGAATAGGAAACCAACTTCAGCCTCGTAGCTGCGGGGTTCGAAAACGCAGCTTTGCGACGATCTTCGTGAAGTCAGTCGCTCATCGATTTGCTACGAATTTGCTGAAGATGTAGGTTCATCTCAGTCCGTGAAGAAAAACTGTGCTTTTCAGTTTTACATTATTTAAATGTGTGGTTGCACACGACTAAGATGTTACCAACGCAATGACTGTCTTCCAGTTGACTTGTCTTGCCAAAACACATGTTAATCGTGAATGCAGAACACATTTTATTCGTGTGCAACAGCATGACGTAGCTTAGATGGATCATGTAAATGCAAAGCACCTTTTCTTTAAATTGTGGACTAACTGAAGTAACAGCTTGTATTGTCTTGATGTTTCTGGGAAGCCTTTCTGTCCATAAGATGTGATGTTTCAAAAAAATGTTTACATATTTGTTCCATATTTAATGACGTATTTATTGTAACCAGAAGCCTGTAACCATCTGATGACAATACTACACTGGCATGTCTGTATTTTTATTATTTTAAGCATTTGTAACCCTATAGAAGTTATTTTGTTCCATAGTACTGATCCAAGTGTATGTAGTCCCAATTTCTACCGTTTATAAATGTTTATATATCAGCATCAGCAGATATGCATGGAAAAATGCCTTTATTGGCCCACTGTTTCCATATTAATGTGTCCGCAAAAATAGGAACTGGTGTGTTCAGTAATGTACAGTAAGGTTTTTTTAAAGGGGAGTTGTTATGCAGTGAGAATTAAAAACAAGAAAATAAAACAAAAGCAGACACAACTCGCATGTACATGTTCTATGTGGGAAAGATCCAGGTGTCACTCTATCTGTTAAAGTCAGATACTTGGGTGTCCTCAGAGATTCATTTACTCTGACACCAGTGGAATGTCTCTGGCATGTTGGACGGCATCTGCATCTCCCCGTGTCTTGATTTGCCAACATATCACTGCTTGCACTGAGACACTGACTTCAGATAACATGCTCTGCTCCCTTTATAATATTTTGATGCAGGTTGGCTCCCAGATCCCTTTCTGAAGCTATGTTACAGGCATATCTAGCTGTTTATCTTGGCATAGTGTAGCATAAAACAGTGCATAGATAGAAATTTGTACAGGGGGTTGATTTCTCTGTTTATAGTACACCAGCGACTATTTCATGAAAAAGAAAATGCACTGCAGAATCCTCAAAGGGAACAATCAAGTTATTTTTCTGTGCCTGTATCAGTGTACATCAATCATGCATCGGTTATTCATTGAAGTCACATAAAAAGAGGAGAAAAGGTGTTTTTCTTTAAGAAAGTTATACCTATTTCATTGCACTGAAGTATTTGTTACAAAAAAGTAGTTTAATGTTAACTGAACCATGTTCGTGTACTACCGCAACTTGAGGCATATTGTCAAAGAGGAATAGTGTATGTTTTCACAGCCAAGCTGATGCACCTGCTGATTGAACAAGCTAACAAACTTGAATGTTATAGTTTGCAGCAACAAAATAAATGAAATCTTAATTATCTGCATCCACAAGACATTTCATATACAAGAAAGGTGCAGGATATTGAAATGTAACTTTGTCAGAATCCAGCTAATGACTGATAATCTTTGTGAGCATTACAAGTGAAGTGTGAAAGATATGCACACAGACAAAGTAGGTTCTAAACAACAGACTGTAGCCACAAAGCTTCTCTTTGGATCTGGTAACCAACATAGACGTTGTTCAATTTTATTTGATAGTGGTCCTAAAACTGGTTAATTGTGTAACTATTTAACATTAATTTGTGCCAATTCTTTATTAATTGGCATTTCTTTCAAAAAAGGCATAATAATAATAATAATAATAATAATAATAATGAGTGTATAAAATGGCCAGTATCTGTATAAAGATATTCTTACATTGCAGATTGTGGTGAAGAATTTTCAATAGTATGTCCCTTGTGATCAGACAGACAGAAGATTATATACCTTTCCAGTTTATTTTTTCTTCATCAGTATACGTGACAACCTTCCTGAGTAACTTGCTAAGCGTGGAGCTTGTTGGTTAATATAGTGGTGCAAACACAGTGACATCCAGAAGCGTGTTCCAAATTTTGTAGAGGACAGGCGAAAACTTACTGCTTACAGACTGAATGGTCATAAATGTTTGAATTGCATGCCAGAGAGGCCCAAATATTTCTTCCAAGTACAAACCTGCTGGTGTCAGTACAGGCTTTGCTGTTTTATACACTGGTTGGTTGTGTGCTATGGGTGGATCCCATTCAATATGTATCTGTACCAGTATTCTTCTTGTTGTTATAAATAGGTGTCAACATTTATTCCATCCACACTGCCAATATTTGAAGAGAAGAGTTTTTGTAACCTCTGCTGCTTTTATTTATATGGCCACAAGAGGGTGTTTTCTTATTGCTACAGCCTTTGGTCTTGTTTTCAACAACACAGCAGGACTGAGCAGAGAAGTAAAATGAGCCAGCTTTATCCAACCAGTCTAGAATGTAGTAGTGCCAGAAACTTACTTTTGCAGTGAGTAGCAGAAATAGATGAAAAAATAGGGTTACAACAGTGACTTATTCAACACAGGAGGTACTTAAAAAATAGTCGGCAGTTATTTCTGTCAATTGTCATGGTTGCTGCATAGCTAGAAATATGGTTACATTGAGAGGGTAAAGAGGAATGATGAAAAGAGAGCTAAAGGCTACGCTCACAGAGAAAGTCTTCTAAAGTGTGGAAGGACTTTTTGTTAAAGCTGTATTGTCAAAGGGTTAAGTATAAACACTGATGAATGCTGGTTTGTCAAGGTCTACCGAGTGTCACTTTGGGATATTCAGCCTTGTAGCCTTGATTTCAGTCTCAATCACAGTCAGAGAAGTGGAGGCAGCCTTCTTGTTTATTGAAGGGGATACAGATTAATTTAGAAGTCAGTCATGATCACTTATAAAATTGATTTGTGAATGTTTACAGTTATGTAAATGAATGTCAATCTTTCATTTAAGGCATTTAGTAGGTGTTCTTATCCTGAGAGACTTATAGAAATGCTTTCTCATTTTGTGATATTGCCTTGTATTTTCACTAGTTTCTTGGCTTAGATGTTGTTGTGTTTTTTTTGTTTTGTTTTTTTGTTTTTTTTTTGTTTTTTTTTGGACTTTAGACCCCGAGGTGGAGCCGGCCCAGGAGGACCACGCAAGCAGAAGGAGCTACCTACAGAGCCCCCCTACACAGCATATGTGGGAAACCTGCCCTTCAACACAGTACAAGGAGACATAGATGCCATTTTCAGAGATCTCAGTATTAGGAGTGTGCGACTAGTAAGAGACAAAGAGACAGACAAGTTCAAAGGTGAGTTGGACTAGAAAACATTTATGATTTAACAATATTTATTTGAATTTTTTTAATAATACGTTAATTAAAGGAGTACTAGGGTCTGCATTTGATGCATACTCACATTTTTCTTTTTCAGGTTTTTGTTATGTAGAGTTTGATGACTTGGAATCTCTGAAAGAGGCTTTGACATATGATGGTGCTGTAAGTAGTCTACATTTCTGAAATCTTAAGTTTAATAGTAATATGTGCAGTTTTTATATGGTGCCTGCTGGAATTTCTCAACAGCTCCTTGGAGAGCGATCATTGAGGGTGGACATTGCAGAGGGTCGAAGACAAGAGCGAGGTGGAGGGTTTGGCTTCCGAAAAGATGAAAGAGGTACTGGTCATGGATGGAAATTCACAGGATATTTTCTTTAACACTGCACTGAGCTTGGTATTTCAGCTATTGGCTGCCTGCTCAAATCCAAGTCTTAAAAAGAATGAATAATACACAAAGCAATTATTGTTTGTCTTTTCTTTTTAAAAATACAGCATTTAGAGTTGCAACGCTACAGGCTAAATAACAAAATAATAGAATAAGTAACTAAGGGCCACAAGATAAAAGTAAGTAGGTGCTGAAAACATTAGTGACTCTACACGTTCAACAACAACAAACACTCGTAATGTGGTTGAAGGGATTCATCATGGAAAGCACTACTTTCATCAGGAATGTTGAGCTTTAACACAGGATTTTTAGAAGGCACCAGTGATTAGATTCCTGTATTAATTTCATAGATAAGATTCATGCCGCTTTCATCTAATTTATATTCCATATTTTCTCAAGTATTTCCATGATGGTATCTAGTGTAATGTGAAGTGTTGTCCAGTGTTTCAGTAGATGTAATTTTTCATTGTAAAAGAATTCTGACTGTAGTGTTTTAAAACCAAGCCAAATAACTTGGATTCGAGTAGGTGGCTATATTCACTTTCTGCTCATTCTTCATTTACTCCACTGTCTTTCTTTTCTGTCATTTCCTCTTGATAGTAAAATAAATGTCTACAGCATGAGCTTTCCTGCTCATTTCTCTTAGTTCACACTAACAAAGACTATTCTCCCAGGGCTGCCTTTTGTCTGTCGAGCCAATTCTTCCTGTTTAGCAGTGCAACTAACCAGGGCACGGCAGGAGGTCTGGTCATTTTACCAGAACCACTGAGTGGGAGGCTCTCTCTTGACCCCCACTCCCTGCCTTAGATTGCAGCTTGTTTTAAACAGAGCCCCCTGTCCATTTCAGGCCGCGGTGGCACACGGGGGTCCAGAGGAGGTGGACGCGAATCTAGAGACGACTTCGACCATTCTGGAGGAGGTGCGATGAGCGGGAACAAAGTCAGAAAGGCATTTCTGCAAAAATACCCATAGGTCTAGATACTCTAGCGAGTAGGTTTAGGAAGCACTCAGACCTTGTTGCTGAATCACACAAACTTGAAGACTTTTGGTTACAAGCTATGATGCTGTTGGAACAGTGTAATTTTTCCTTGTCCTTCCTATAGATTTGTGTTTTTGTCATTTTGTCACCTTCATGACCGTACAGGGAGTCCATCTCATTGCCATCAGTCATACTGTTACAGGAGTTTTACTGCTGTTGTGGACATAAACCCTCTCTTAGGAGTTGTCTGTAAATACTGATCTAAGATAACTGTTATTGTGAATTTAAGTGCTGCGTGCTGCACTTGTCATGGATCAGTATTTTGGAACAACTTCCAGCATTTGAAGAGAAGTGCTAGTAGAGTTACTAACCTTTTCTTAATGAAAACCATAGGCTTTAGAGAGGACGATTTCATGGGCGGGAGGGGTCGAGGAGGCAGTCGTCCTGGTGACAGACGGATGGGTAGCGGAATGGGTCGCTACAGAGATGGACCTCCACGCGGCCAGACGGATTTCAGAGAACCCTCTGAAGGTGTTGCATCTTTATTCATTCTTTTAATGGCTTTTTGCTTTTAAACAGTATCATTATTTATACAGATTCTGCCATCAGGGTCCAGTATTTAAAAATGTAATGCTATATATGATGCTGCCACATATCAGGGTTGTCAGATTCTGTATATTGCAGTTATGTTCTCAAACTTCTCAAAATCTAGTAGCTGGTATTGTAAGAACAGTTTTGGACATGTCTTATAAATGTGTAAGTGTCTGACCAGAATGCCTATATTTTGAATAATTCAGTAATGAGATTTATTTATTTTTTTTTATGGAAGGCTTTGTTACTGGAGAAACATTTTAATGCTCAATCATGGAGGACAGTTTTTACAGGCATGTAGGCCCTTATTTATCAAAGTTGTGTTGAAACAAGCACAAATTGGACCATTCTTAATGACGTATGAACTACTCTGCATCTGGTTTAGGAAGTTGTCCTATGGCAATGAAAAAAGTGATGATTTTTAGCACAGTTGACTTACTTGCATATCATTTGCAACAAACACATCCCAGTTTGCCCTCATATACCCATCATTTACATGAAGCACGCATAATTCATGCAGATGTTTTGACAGTGAGTGAATGGTTGTCTTTTTAGTCGGAGTTTGAGGTTGAGCAGGAGTGCCCCCACTACTGGTCAGATGTTAAATAGCTTCAAAGTGTTTGAATGACTGACAAGGAAAAAAATATTAAAAATGTTGTAGCTTATGTTCAGATGGTGATGTGATTATTTTCATAAAACACTGATGGCTTGAGTGATAATGCAGAATATGAGCTAGCTTCTACTGTATTAGATAAGCTATAAGTTTAGATTTTTGGGGAGGTATTTATTATGAGTGGTATGAAGCAAACATATAGTCACAGCATTTCTTTATCAGTGTGGATGTAAAAAAGTACATCTACTGTAGTACAAGGATTGCTGAGTGCAAAATGATTAGTATTTTCTTTAATTTCTACTTTTACTGGTTGTGCTGATATTTAAAATGTTGATGTATTAAAAGCAAATCAGGCATTTTCAGGCTGTAAGTTCAAATTTTTTTAAAGACGTTTCAGAAAACTGCTTTCTGTTTTACTGATTTTTGTTTCTGAGTCTTGCACTAACACAGCTGTTTTCCTCTTCTTTTTATCTTCAGAGGAAAGAGCGCAGAGACCAAGGCTACAGTTGAAGCCTCGCACAGTCTCTGAACCCCTAAACCAAGTGGCCAATCCAAACTCGGCCATCTTTGGGGGTGCCAAACCCAGGGAGGAGGTAATATCCAAAGAAAAACACTAAGAGACTGCAGCCTCCCTCAGTGCGCTAAGACGGACAGAGGGAGGAAAGGGAGGGGAGGGGAGGGGAGAGGAGAGGAGAGGAGAGTGCAGGACTGGGACGACAAAACACGTATCATGCCAATGGGAATAAGATAAGACTCTGTCATCATTCCTCCTAGTTAGAGATGAATGGAGTCCCTCCTTCTTCTGAATCTTCTGGAGTCCCTCCTTCTTCTGAATTTGAGTGAATATATTTATTCAAGAAGGAAAAAAATTTATAAAAAAACACCTTCATAACACACTTGCACTACACACGCATACACAAAACGAGCAGCTCGTGAATGCATGTCAAACTGATAAATCGTTTTTACGTCCACCTCTGCTTCCCTGTAAGTAGTGCCTGCTCTGTGCTGTAGTTTTTGTCAGGGGAAGGCTCATTCACGTTCTTTGTGACACAAAAAGGGTTTGATAGAGCTGCTCTCTTAAATGGAATCCAAACTGTAGTTTTAAACAAAAGTTTTTTTTCTTTTTTTAAATATGTATACATGATTATTACTCAAATTATACCCCGTTACTGTGCGATGGAAATAATGCGGGTTTGGATATGGATTTAATTTGGCTCAGCCTTTTACCTAAGAGGTTAGATACGTATTACTTTGTGCTTGTTATTAAATCCATATTCATTTTTGTGACTGTGACGCAGGTAATAGTGTCAGTGAATATCCCCCGCATCCCCGCCTCATCCCCCCTCCCCCCTTTTTTGTGAGTTACTCCTGTGAACAAAGCATAGTGAAATCACAAGCCCAGTCAGTGCACCAGCCCTCAACTGTTTTATGGCCCACCCTCCTGTTGAAGCAGACTCAAACATTTTGAATGCACACTTACACATATGGTGCTTTCCTAGCCCTGATTGTGTGCAATAGTGATTTGACGCAGTAAGGCTGTGGTAGTAGAAGCGTACAGGCAGCGTTCAGTTTTGGGGCCGTGTGAATGTAAAATATAAGTAGTAGAAATGACACAGGTCATTTTATTAGTCTACTGCAATCTCCTGTTCACATGGGACTGATTTTATATTGTTTGGTCACTTTGTTCATGTGCAGAATAAGTGTTACATTTCAGCCTCTGTGAAACAGGCCCTTGTCTAATCATTATGTTCTTGTTTTTGTTTTCCCGTTCTTTAAGAATTGATATAGCCGTGTGGCTGCGTTATTCTGGAAGGCTAGACTGGATCTACGGGCTTTGTCCACGAAAAATCTTTCAAAGACGTGTGGGCAGAGGGTGAGAGGTATCAAGCTCCCCCCCTTTGCACACAAACCCAAAACAAGGCCTCGTGTGATTGGTTAAAAAGAAGCTGGACTTGGGGCCAATGGGGAAAAAAAGACGTGGCCTAGGCTTATACCTACCCGCGTCTTGTCATCTATATGTGAACCTCGCACACCTAAGCAAGACTCAAAGGACAGTGGCTTCAGTTTGATTCTGTTGCCTTTGGGTAAGGACCTTACTGTGTGTATTCTTTTCTCTCCCTTTCCCAAGGCATCTTTATGTTAAAGCATTTGAAATTGAAATTCTAGACACATGGGAGTAAATGCAGACCCACTGTGTCTTTTTATATTTTGCTTACTAAATTGCTGCTCCGTTTCTGAAATAACGTTTTTGGGCTTTCAGCAACCACTGTCTTAAACATTAAATGGTTAAATGGCAAGAGAATCTGAATGTTCATTTCTGTTTCGTATGTAATTCTGGCATAATCATTTTGAAAGGTTTTTTTTTGACCAAGTCTGTTTTATCCAGGTATGCGATGCTTTCTGCAATGATGCGAGACAGCCAGTTTGTTTAGAAGAGTGAGATGAAGGCGTGCTAGCTTTTGAACATGGATAGCGGCTACAGTCTCAGTCAGGCAATTGTCAGCGTTCACAGCTTGATAGTAATGTATTTCATCAAAAAGTTAACTATGGATCACTCTTTAACATGGACAGTAAAAACTGCCTTGACATAGGAAGCTTATTGAACAAAAGTGTGAAAAAAATAAAATAAAATCACCCGCACATTTCCAATCAAGGTGGTACCAGGCACTAGTCTTGTCTATTAGATCAGGAATAGATTTCTCTTTGGATATCCATGTGTTGCAACCTTTTTATTTTACATTTTACTGGACATGAAATGGAAGAAGTAGAGCCTTTTCTTACTGTACTATAGAACGATTGGCTGTTTTTATTCTTTTGTTTTTCTTTTCATTTTTCCTACACTGTTTATGGCAATAAAATATATCATCTTAAAGTGTTTCAAATGAATGTGTTCACCTGGACAAGATGTAGAGTGCACAGCAAATGGGGGATGTCTGTCCTAGAATATGTATTCACAATGAAAATGCACTTAGCTAAGGTGGTATACTAAGAAGTATTGGGATTCTGTTTCAGATTAAGAAAGCTTAGTGCCATATAAAGTGTTGTTCAACATTTCCTGAGTACTGCCTAATTTTAGTCCTGAATCTTTATACTACCTTGTTTGGAAGCTGATTGTTAAACTGGAGTTGGAGTTTGCTGACATTTTCTACTTCATAAAATGTAGGGAGTAGACGGGGGTTCCGCATCAGCGTTTCATTGCAACTTTCAAGTGGAGCCAATGTAAAGTTACATTCAGTATAAATCAAATGGAGACTTTTGGTTTGCGCCCCCAATACCAGTAATTACAATCAGAATTTATCATTTTAAACTTTGACTTCCTATCTATAATACCAGCCTTGCCATTTTTCTTGAGCTTTTAGCTTTTTTGGATTATCTGCAGTTCACTGACTTTAACAGGTTGGGTAATAAATTTAGACTTAATTAAGCACAGTGACTTCCTGAGCAAAATAACCCAGACAGACACAGGGTTTATTTGACACCCTGGAACTGCACCCTTAAGTTTTATACTGCAATGTGTTAATTATAAAGAGTGTGCTGTTGTGGACAACTTGAATTTTATTTTTACTTTTTTTTTAATAAATTGCATTTTTATTTTTCCTTTAACCATTTGCATCATTGAAAAAACACTCAAACTTCAGTCGTTAATTACACAACTAAATAAAAAAAAATAAAGAATATTTCAGAGTGCAAAGGCGTGCTTGTTCTGTATTAGGACAATGCAGCTTCTACAACAAGAGGCTAAAAATACAAAATAAAGCAGGCAAGAAGTGCCAGTGTACGAGTTACAATTGCAGTCCAAACCATGGAAGACCGCAGTGATTTAGGCCTAGCTGTACTATTGTTCAGGACAAATAAAAATAGGTATGCTGCTGTGTTTCTTTGAGAAATTAGTAGAGATCAAAAATCTTTTTGGAGAGGAAAAAACTCATTGCTCATTTACTAAAAAGAAAATTTAAATAAACAAAATACACACTCTTGGCACATTAATTGTTGTACTTAAATTGGAACACTTTGAATTTAGGGTAATTTCACAAGCCAAGTTTGGGTGTGCACCCTGAGAAGACTCTTTGGAGGTTCACAAGAAGTCTGCTCTCTTGCAGACTATATGGAGGGCAGAAAATAAACAGCTGACCTGTGGCTGTGGACATTAAGGTGATGTGCATGTTAAGTCTGAGTCTGCAAGTCTGGGAAGGCTGGAAATTTACACTACGTGAACAAAAGTATTGGGACACCTACACATTACACCTACAGGAGCTTTTTATGGAGTTGGTCCCCCTTTGCAGCTATAACAGATTCCACTCTTCTAATAAGGCTTTCTACAAGATTTTGGAGTGTGTCTGGGAATTTTTGCAGATTCATCCGGAAGAACATTTGTGATGTCAGACACTGATGTTGGGCGAGAGGGCCTGGCTCGCAATCTCCATGCTAGTTAATGCTAAAGGTGTTTGATGGGATTGAGATCAGGGCTCTGTGTGGGCTAGTCAAGTTCCACACCAAACTCACCCAACCATGCCTGCATGGACCTTGCCTTGTGCACTGGAGCTCAGTCATGCTGGAACAGAAAAGGGCCTTCCCCAACGTTCTCCTGGCATTCGGCAAATCCAGACTCGTCTGTCAGACTGCCAGATAGAGAAGTGTGATTCATCACTCCACAGAAAATGTTTCTACAGCTCCAGATTCCAGTGGCAGCGTGCTTTACACCACTCCATCCGATGCTTGGCGTTGTGCTTGGTGATGTAAGGTTTGCATGCAGCTGCTTTGCCATGGAAACCCACACCATGAAGCTCCTGCCGCACAGTGTTTGTACTGAAGTTAATGCCGGAGGAGGTTTAGAACTCTGCAGTTATTGAGACAGCAGAGTGCTGGTGACTTTTATGCGCTGTGCACTTGAGCACTCGGCGACCCCACTCTGTAACTTTACGTGGTCTGGCCACTTTATGGCTGCGTCGCTGTGGTTCCTAAATGTATCCATTCTTCAATAATACCACTCACAGTTTATCGTGAACTATCTAGGAGGGAAGAAATTTCATGAACTGACTTGTTGCAACTGTGACATCCTATTACAGTACCACGCACATTCAGTGAGCTCTTTAGAACGACCCATTCTTTCACAAATGTTTGTAAAGGCAGACTGCATGGCTAGGTTCTTCATTTAACACACCTGTGGCAATGGGACTAAATGAAACACCTGAAGTATTAAGAGGTGTGTCCTGATACTTTTGTACATGTCGATTGGAACGATTTAGTGCAGTGGTGGTGTCCACTCTGGTGTTTAATGGAGTTTGGTGATTTCCTTATTTTAACACACCCTCTAAATCTAATGATTAGATAAGGAGTTAAACAGAAAAATGTCCAAACTGAATGCTTGTTCTGTGCGTTTCCCATGTGAGTGTGCATTATTTAAGACCTAATTCAAATGCAACATGTGTTTGCATTTCTGTCTGTAGTGGCTGGAAAAAAGTTAATATGGAAAAGCAAAGATCTTTGGACATTTACTTTTCATTCTAATGGTATAATTTTAATGGTATGAGTCTGATATTAAAAATGGAAAAACAATGTACTGTTTGTAATTGCATTTCCACACCGTTGCGCCTCAGCTCTCCCAAAATTAAAATGTACTTGCAACCCTGTCAGTGTCAATGTGGATTGTTAATGTGTGTGTTAAAGAAGGGAAAACACCAAAATATACAGGGGAAGATCTCCAGGACCAGGATTTAGAACCAATAGGAGGAGAAGCACAGGCCCATGTAAGCCCTGCCCTCCAGAGTTTAGTTTAAACTCTAACTTAACACAATTACACAAGTAATGAAGTTCTTCGGGACGCTGAAATATTATAGACAGGTGTGTGAGAGTTTGGGGCTGGAATGAAGCTCCCCAGGCCACCGGGAGGGCTGCTGAACAAGTTTAACAGGCTGTAGATTCTCATGCAGCCATCAGAGGGCGCCGTTGCGTAACATTTCTTAATTCATACTACGTGCGCGTTCCCGATATCGTGACGTTTCCAACGTTACGCGCACGTACCAACAGCAACGGCTGGACCGTTGAACTTCGAAGTGGAAGAGGAAAGACTGGACCGAGAAGTTATAGCTAACCTAGTTTACTCAGTAACAGCGGTTGCGCTGATAATAGTGGGATATCTGGATCTTTTCTGTCTTCGGTATCTGTATGCACTGGAATACGGAGCTCCTGTTTTGTTTGTGACCGTCTACTGAAAACTTTGGAACCCTCAACAAGTTTGGAGCGGCTGTGAAACACTAACTTTTAGTAGCTGTCTCGCTTGAATATGGAGAGGTAAGTGAAGCCACAAGGGCAGACATACATCGCTTTGACTTGCTCATACTGAGAAACTGAAGTCACAGGTAGGTTTTGCTGGGTATGACCTGCTTGCTTCCTTCCTGTGTTTTCACCGAGTTCATGTTTGCCAGCTCTTGCCGTGCTCATGACATGGCAAAGCAAGTTTTTAAATCGGCAGAGAGATTCTGACTTGGTTCAGTAACGTTAACATTTCTTCGACGTTTAAGCAATTTTTTTTCCTCATTGCTTGAACTACAGCCACTGCAAAATGCTGGGTGTGTTTCGGGCTTCGTTTGACGGACAGCAGCTGTTGGCTAACAAGCCAGAATAAGTGCTGCTTTGCTATCTCAAACCCTTAACAGTTGTTTTAGCCTCTTGGTTCAGTTACAGCTAATAATTGCAGACTTGGACATATTTAACAGAAACTAAAAACATGACTTCCCAATCTACTATCACATTCCTCTAGTTGTGCCTAGTTATGTACGCTGACAAGCGGACGAATAGTGTAAGCTATCAGGTTTCTTCATAGAGGAGTGTAACTGATTGTGTTAGGGAATTTTTGTTTACATGTTGTGGTAAATGCTCCTCTTCGCTTCTCATGTCTCAGTTTTTCTTCCCTACCATGCCGGTGATATGCTCAGCACTTCTCTCAAGATAGTTCACTGCTGTACCACCTCTGGATCCTAGTCAAGGTAAGAACAATGGGACAACTAAGATTTGTCAGTTTATCATCAGTTTGGTCATTGAGAATCGTTAATGTTTTGTCAGCTAAATGTTTCTTGTTAGTTTACCAATGATATGGCTGGTTAAAAGGAGAGTAACTCAGAGTACAGTAGTTTGGATTGTGCAGTCTGTGGCCAACAGGTACAACTGGCTGTGTTCTTTTTAGGAAGGTTAATGCCATTCATTCCTTCTGGTGATGAGACTCATATACCTGCCTGGTCATGTGGCAGAGCCAAAAACTTAGCAGTTTGAAACCCTAAAGACATGCTTGTCAAACTGAATGGAGAAGGTGTCACCATAACCCACTATTTTGAAGCATCAGGTTTTGCAGATTTTCATTTGTGTGGTTAGGCACTCAAAAAACACTTCCCAGTTTTCCAGCACAGGTGGGTTGTTTTAATAACTGAAATTGAGATTGGGTTAAATCATTACATATTCCGCAAAATATAACTGTGAAACCACTTTGAAACCTGTAATGGCATCTCCAAGAACCAGAAGTGCTTGTATGTGCAGGCTGTTATAAGATGTCTGTTGCAGCGGATGGGTAGGGCCACGCAGCTTAGTGGTTTGCAAAGTTATATTGCTCATTATCGCCAAGATCAGAAATGAAAAATGATGACATGAGTGTAAATATGACTATAACTGATTGCCTGTTAAAGCTTGCTAAGCAATAGTGGGAGCCTTTCTTAGATTACTTTTTTATAATGCCAGAGATGCAACACAATATATAACTTAACTTTTGTGAATTGTATCATGTTTCAGGCATGACAACTCACTTCTTTTAAGAATGTTTTGTGCAAACATACAAAGTAGCTTAAATATACACATTTTTGCACACCCAGGATATTATTTCTAGGTCTATTTCCAAAAGATCAAAAGCTTTAATTTAATGTAAAACAGAATTCATGTAGTCTAAAATAAAATTTAAAGTAGGTGTGCTTTTATATATACTGTATAGTCTGTAAATGTAGGGATAAATAAGGGACCTAAATTTGTTTCTATTATTTTTATACAGCTGTAAACTGTTATTGTGAACACTGAGTCTTAGTCAAATGGCGTTATATTCCTCTGTGAACTGTCTTGCCAAAGCAGTGCCATTGTTAGTGTGGGCCTCTGCTGTGGGACTATACAGAAACATTGACAATAGTGCATCATTGGGAGAGCTGGCAATGTGGGAGTGCCTTTGTTGCCTTGTTGAACTTTGTACAGCCTGCCACATTTGCTGACACTGACGTATGTGAGCGAGAGAAACAATCTGTGGATCATCAAACTGATCTTTGTTCAGAATTAATGTTTTTTTTGTTTTTTTTTGAGTTTGCTTTTAGCACACGTCAAAGGATAAAACAAATTCTTTAGCCTCAGCTTTTTTGTTATATTTGGTCTGGAAGAATCTCCAAACAAAAGGTCTGTCTTGTTGGTTGTGGTGTAATGTGCCACTGGTATCAGTATGAAAAATAGTTCAGATTGTGGCTTGTTTCTTTCTGCTTTAAAGATTTTCTGCTGTTGTTTCCAGCTGTTTATAACCTGTTTTAGAACTTCATCCAACGGTTATCCCCTCTTTCTTTAAGGTAACAGCATCTACTCTTCTAGGAAGCCTTAAGCCTTGTTTTTTTAACATGCCCTCACCAATTTTGACTGGCCACTCAAAAGTGTGTTGCACCTATGTTACACAAGTGGCCATTCTCACACTAGGCAGGGAGAAAGACTGAGGAGTTTTTCAGCTCTGAATGTGCTCTCCCTCAGCTAGGTTAGCGTCAGTGAGCTAATTAGCTAGTTAGTCATGGGAAACTCTGTAATGCAGAACTTATTTTTTTATTTTTTGAGAAGTCCGAACATAATGTACGTAAAATTAGTGAATAATTGCTTTATCTGACTATAAGATTTGGTTTAGAATTGTGATGTATTGCTCTTCTTTTTTGTTCTTGCTAGCTGTCCCAGCATAGCAAATGGTGTGTTGTAGTTTTGAAACCTTAAGTATTTTAATCTCATGGCTTACAGACAGCTTTGTTTGAAGTTTGAAAAAGGAGATGCATTAGATCACAGTGATTTTTGGGCCAGTTCTGCAGCTGAAGTCATCGTTATGGGCTCATCTAACAAACTTCACTAGAACTAATATAGTAATGAAACAGCCGTTGGGGAAATAATGAGGCCAGGTTGATGAGGACATGTTAAAAACAAACACAGAGGTGAGGATTTGATTGCGTTCAGCCACAAGAGCGTTAATGAGGTCACAAACACCACTCCAGCTCATCCCAAAGGTATTGGATGGTACTCATTCAGTCCAGAGAAAACAGTTCCAACACTCCAAAACTCAGTGTTGGGGAGCTTTTTGCCCGTCTAGCCAACACTCGGTATTGGATATGGTGACATTAGGCATATCCGGCTCTTCCAGGGTCTTGTTCCTTTGGCAGTGCTTTTTTTCAAGCAGACTGTACAAGCTGGGATGTGCGCAGTTGAACACCTGTGTCAGCAGTGAGTCCAGCTGAATTCACTAATTAGAAGAGGTGTCTGGATACCTTTAGAATTAGAAGTGCAAAGACTTTCAGTGAGAACTTTGAACTAATTCTGCAGCGGCCTTAGAATATGTTCTTTGGCTTCTTTGTGAGCTGTTGCTCTAGTGCCAGGTGAGTCTGTCTCTGTCTCCATGGAAGCAGCTTTGTGTCTTTGTAACTGACTACCACTGCAGGCTATTAATAGGGAACCATGGAGGGACAGACTTGCGCTGCTCTTACTTTGCTTCCTTGTTATTTGACACTTCAGTTTGTTCTTGCATTGTCTTTTGTGGTTTGGCTCAACACGTGATCTGTGACCAATCTGCATACACACGGGCTTCCCACTGAGGATTTCACAAGGAGAAAAAAAAAATAAACGTCATCTTGGTCTCATTGTTATTTATTAACTTAAGTAATCTTTGTTTCCATTGTTCACAATGATTTTAAATAGTCTCTGCTGACTCACACATATGGCCTAGTCCTTATATCAAGATGTTTAGATTTTCTATTTTATATTATTTTTACAAACCTCTGCCGCAGACCATTTAAAAAATATATATTTTTCTGCAAATGTTAATGCACAGTTACTTTATATTTAACTTATGTAATTATATTATTAGTTTTGTATGTGTATAGCATGTATTTGTGCTCCCTTCCAGCTGTAAAGTCTCAAAGCTTAATTAACTTTAAACCCTGAGTGACTCATTAGGGATGGTTAGGCAGGTCAAGAATGGACTTTATTGTTTCTTAGATGGATATTAAAAAAAAAACATCATCTTTACTCACCCAGTTGCTGTTCATTTCCATGTGCGTTTTGCACATTGGTGTGAAAACCTTGTCACAAATGATTGTGCTCTCTAGACCTATAAAAGATTTTTAAAATGTAGCATTATTTCATTTTGCAAAATGCTAAAGATTTCGTTATGCTGTTGCAGGTGTAAGGATAATGCATAATTTTAAACGACTTTCTGGGTATCTCAGCAGAAGCCTGCGAATAAGTTATACTTCTCTGTATCTGGAAATGAGAAAAGGAGTTATTTGGGATCATTTTAGATGTATGTCTCGCACATCTTGGACACAGCCTGACAGAGACAGACGATTGCAGTAACTGTACAGGCAATTAGGACTGTACATACAGTAGAGTACTGTTCTAGCAACGTGAATCTCGAGTAGCTGCAGTATTTTAGTCTCTCTGGTGTATGTTGGGGTTGTGCAATGCATGCATCAACAGGATGTCAACTGATTGAATGGTGATTGTTTTCCAGCTGCAGTGAAGACAGCTGCATTTTTCCAGTTTCCTCTGAATCTCGAAGAGGTACAGTAATACCATCTTAATTGCTAACACTTTAAAATTAAAATTTGTTAATTCTCCAATGTTAGGCTGGCCTGTATTCTGCATTATAGCAAATAAAGTAGTTAGCTGTCTAATGAGGTGCAACGATTAACAAAATTAATTTTGATGGGGATGATTGTTGACCTGATCCAACTAACAACAGATTCATTTAACATTGTTCTCCTCTACGATGAACAGAGTGAAGCTCTGTGTTGAAATTCTAAACAATTCAGATACTTTACAGAATTTTGAATGGATATAGACAAAACCTAGAGACACATCAGCTTTTTGTGTGTGCTTTAAAAATGATGGTGTCATTCTAGTAGGAGCAGTGTTGCAGGGCTCCTGTATCTCACCCTGCACACAGTCTCTGAATTAATGATGGGAGTCCTACTTCAGCAGCCAAGCGCCAAACTACACACTGGTTTGCAGACAGCGTAAAGGTACCCCAGCATGCTGTTATTGATAAGGGAAGGACGATGTAGTCTGTAAAATGACTAATTCCCACCTGTAAGTCTGAAGATCACATGGTGGATTATGATACTTGGAGGTAATATTAGCGTATAATTGTGGATTTTGTTTTGCTAATGATGGCTGAACCATGCACTAATAAGATGAAATGTGTAGTTTGCTGTTAAGTAAATAGACCCATAAACGATAGCAGCTAATGGCTGAAGTCCAGGGAAGAAATTCAGAGAAAAACCTTCATGCTAATCCTGACTGAGACTGAGAATCAGCATAAGCATGATCTTAAATAAGGAAATGTAGTATAAAAAGTAAAACAGTCCTTCAGTCATTCATATCCATGTACCAAAGGGGATGGGGAGGGGTGGACTGCTCTAAGATTGCATGGGCAATGAAAATGAATTTTCATAGTTGTTTATGGCGTATGCTTGTGGTTGTACATCTTTCTTTTCTTTGTATTTTAGTGCTTAGACATCAAATGACCTTTTAAAGGTGATATATTGAATTAGTGTAAATGATAGTATGCTTGTGGCCTTGTCGCTTGGAGTTCATGGAAAAACCTATTGATCACTATCACAGCAAACTGTGTAGCAAACCGACCTCAAGGTGACAGTGTATTCTTTGTATTGTCTGTTTTGCTTCGCTGTAATTTAAGGCCAGTGTAGTTTGCTTTTGCATAGTGATGTTTGGATGTTTGGGAAGGAAAACAGTACTTTTACTTTGGATTTGTTTGCATTTATTACACCTACATCCTGCTTTTTGTTTTTGTGTCCTATTCATTCTTTGTGTTTTTTATTTTCTTTATTCCTCTGTGTTTTTTATTTTCAGTAAGTGTGGAGTATGTGGGCCAGTTGTTGTAACTGGTTCTGCTTGGACTCGTCCAACATGGAGGAAAGCAGTACAATTAGAACTAACTCGCGCCACCAGGCGTATACCAACTCTGGCTACAGTAGCTACCCATCTCCCCCACCCCCAGACCACACCTGCATGGGCTGCGGAGGACGCTTTGACACTTTGGCCAGGAAGGTAAAGAACATCAGCAGCCTTTTTCTGCTCAGCTTCAGGAGGTCTTTTATGTTCTTAATATATTGCACACTGCTACAGGGCTGTTTTGATAATTCAAGATCACAGCATTTTCCAGATATCAGTGTATCAGATCATGATTAAGTTTTCCGTAAGTTAATGAACCTATGCAGTCTGAGTACTGGGCATACTGACATGCTAAAAAACATGTTACACACCTGACGGCTTGTTTTGATTTAATTATTTTGTTCTGTTGTGCTGACATTAGGACATTAACAACTATGTTCACACTAGAGATGAAATGGTTACCGGTTTCACGGTAAACTGCGGTAAAATTAATGACGGTTAGTAGTACCGTTTGAACTTTACAGTATCGTTAAAACCGCGGTCGATTACCGCGGTGTGAAAAACTCGGAGATTCGGAGATATTTCAGCCTTCTAAGAAGACCAAGTCTGACGTTTGGTCATGTTTTGGGTTTTATAAGAATGCAGAAGAAAAGTTAATTGAAGATGACTACCCTGTCTGCAGAACAGGCCGAAAGAAAATAGCGGCGAAAGGGGGGCAACACATCAAACCTTACGAGTCATTTCGCGACCACCACCCGCTACTTTTCAGAGAATGCAAGGTTAACTTTAACATAGAAGTCTGTGGGGACTTCGAAATAGAAGAAATGTCACGGTTTGTGTGGTTTAACTTTTGCTTATGGTTCGTTAATAATGTTAAATGAAGCTTTTAGCGTCAAAAAAAAACAATCGGTCAATCAACTGTGAATCGAAACTAAAGCTTGTAACACACAGTTCTGTGGAGCAGAGTCTCCAAAATGAGCTCTGAGTTAAGTCACACAAGCTCCGGGACGAGATGCTGCAAAAGTTCAATCTGCACAGCTCCCCTTTCTCGTCTCACGTGCAGTGTTTACTGTCTGAGAAGAGAATAACACTGTCTCAAATCACTCAGTGTCCCCTACATAGTGCGCTACTTTTCAAACAAACACGATCATCATTAACAAGCAGCTGAGTTTTAAATAGGGAGTTTGTAACCTGTTGTTAATGTTGATTATAGGTGACTGACTCGAACGTTTCACGCACTCTTTGGGTGAAGGATTTGCTATTTCATGATCCACGAAGTGCACTGCGTATTGAAAAAATAATAAATAACGTTAAAACCAAGAACACAAGCCTGCGTTCCTCTTGTCCTGTTTAATAAATACGCTGATAAATAGTCTATACACACTTCAGATTTAGCATGAATAACACCACAATGAATTCAGTAATTAGTTCGAGTACATCTGTAACACGAGCTGCTTTCTTCAGCTCTCTGTGCCACAACAAAAGCCCAAAATGACAGACTATCTGCACAGAGTCTTTAGGTCAACATTCCTCCATGACTTTTCCCAGGTTCTGATGGCCGATGGTGGAGCTATGATGTGTTGCTAGTTAGCCGAGCCGAGTAGCCACTGTCCAGAGTCTTTGCTTTACTCACAGGAGCTGTTGGTATGTGCCTGTTTTGAGAGGCACACGCCGTTTCTGTGTGGCAGGTGCCACTCGTTACCAGTCGTCGGTGTCAGGTGCCATTCGCTAAGTGGCACATGCTAGTACGTGCCATTTCCGGACGGCGGAGTTGCCACATCCTGCTGCCAGATGCCACTTCGGGACTGAACCCCCTCTCTAATCAAGTTAGCGTTAGTTAGCCAGACAGCTAACGTTAGCTTCCGTTACTGATGTGAAAAAGGTCAAATAAAACTAAAGCGCGATAAAATGAAAGTTAAGACTACTGTGTCAGCGCTTCGTGCTGTTTATCAGTGTTGCCGATGTTTGTTTCGTTTCCCAAACGCTTTAGCTGAGCGAGCTAACGTTATTCCTCCTAATAAACAGACACACGTTCAGCTCTGTCTCTTCATTCTTCACCACCATCACTGTAGCATTTTTTCTGACGAGTTTTCATCGATATTAGCGTCTGAGGTTTTAAAAACGCTGTTAGAAAGAGAAACCTCACAAGTCAAAGCACCGTTTTCAATGTAGATAAGTGTAACGTAGCGTCATTATGCTAGTTATAGAGAACTATGCTGCCTGTCACTGCACAAAACGATAGAAACAGACGGTTAAAGCAGAAGAGAAGACAGATCTGGGGTTTTCTTAAAGTTAGGACAGAATTTAGGAAATTCTGTCGAGTTAGGATGTTTCTGTAATGTTTTCCTATCTGGAGTTAGGACAAGATTATGAACTTAAGAACTGTTGTTCTGTAATAGCTGTCCTAAATTGAGTCCTAACTAAAGTTTCATGGTGACTAAGCAGATAAGATTTCAGACTTAAGAAGTTTCTGTAATACAGCCCCAGATTTCCAGAAAAGTCATGTATTTATTTAGTTTTCAAATAATAACAAATCATTAATGGTACAGGCAATATATTGTCCAACATTATTCACCTAGGTAGGAATCCTAATCCACTGTGATTGTCCTCTTGGGGTTAAGCAGTGAATTTTTCTAAGCACACTGAAACAGCACAAATAGACTTTTCTTGTTTCGTTTAAGCTGAAGAGAACTAAATCATTTGAAACTGCATTTGTTTGCTTAACTTGCGTATCAGTATAGTTGGCTAGCTTCAAACATAGTAGACCTGTTTTATATATTTGTATTGAATTTGCATTTATGGTTAGGTTGGTGTTATTTTTTATTTTTTTTCTCTCCAGTAGCTCATAGCTAGAGAACCATTTACCAAATTTGCTATGTTGCTCTTTTGGCACAAAATCAATTTGAACTTCTGTTTGTAGAACAGGATTCATGATCATTTTAATCACTTAACAGAACAGACTAAAATCGTTCAACCTGTTAATGCTGGTTGTAAAATGACCTTTTGTTTCACTTTATATCGGTATTTAAGAAGACTGCAGTGTATTTGCATGGGGAAATGACCACTCTTTTGCTCTTTACAGCATATATGTGTGGACTGCAAGAAGAGTTTTTGTGGCCGCTGCTCTGCTCAGTCAGCGCCCCTTTCACGGCTATGCCATACCTGCCATCGTTTCCATGGCACCATGTTCGAACGAGCGGAGCTAATGAAACTAAAAGTAAAGGACTTGCGGGACTACCTACACTTGCATGAAGTTCCCACACAAATGTGCAGGGAGAAGGAGGAACTCGTTGACCTGGTCCTCGGCCAACACACACCTACCTCTGACACCTCCACACCAACTCAGACACATGATCACACACAGCCATCTGAGCAGGAAGCCCCCTCTGTACCAACCCCAGCTACTGTGCAGCCCCATGCAGGGAACAGTGTTACAACAGATATGGCTTCACAGTCACACACAGCAGTGGATGAACAGGTAAGTAGATAAAAAGAGGAGGTCCTCAGTATTGACAAGTTCTCAGATGTATACCCTTCTAATAGCCTTTCTACAAGGTCTTTCACAACTATTGCGGCATTGAAGTCTCAGTGGCTTTTGATATATACTAAGGCCCAATCCCATTTCTTCTTTTTACCCCTACCCCTTGTTATCAAGTGTCACCCTGTGGTTGAAATCTTGCCCTACGAAATGGGACAACCCTCAAGTAAAACATTGTTTCATTAACAGGCTTCTAGCGGTGCTCTGTAGGAGACCCGGCCCGTCTTCAGCGATAGTAGAGAAGGGAAAACTTCAACAGCCTCGCTGCTGGACTTTAGTTACGTTTAGAGCATCATGCTTTCAAAGAGGGGGGCAATTATTTATTATCACCCATCACAAATTCTTTGGTGATATGAAGCTGAAGTCAGCTATTCAACTATTCGCCAGCTTGCTTGAATTGCTTGAATTTTTTTGTTCCACCTTAAATGGTTCAGGCGTCAATACTGCTGGACCATTTAAGGTGGAATGGGAAAGTTAGCTAGCTAGCTACCAAAACATTAGCATGCTATTAGCGATTTTTATGCTTGTTATGAAGAAAACGACCATAATACATTGTAACGACATTAAACTAAGATAATACGATAATTATAGTAATTTTTTTAACGGAGAAAATACTTATGGGTTTCTTGTGGGTTTCTTTGGTCGCTTGCGCAGCCGTCTTGGAGGTTTTTCTTTTTTTCTGATAACACTCCGTTTGGAGTGTGCCTCTGAAAAATCTCCGTTTGGAGGGCCATGTAGCCCTAACACTTCGCCCTACCCCTCCATCTCAACAAAAATTGGGACACCCTAACCCTAGACGTGAACGCGCAAAACGGAGGGCTAAGGGCTAAGTGGTAGGGGCAAGGGGTCAAACGTGATTGGGCCTAAGAATACTAAACAGTTGAGATAAATGAGAGCATATTTTCACTTTGTGTTCTCTTATCAACTTTTCAGTACTTACCATTTGTAAGAAATAGGTCACATCCAAAGAAGGGAGGCTGAAATGCTCTTATTTTTGTTTAGAAACAAAGAAAGGCATCCTCTACTTTTTCACCTGTTTGTCTTTTCAATATCAGTGTAACTAGGTATACAGAATAAGGGTGGGTAATTTTTTTCGGGGGGATAATATATTATTGTTATCAGGATGTGCTTTTCTGGGCATATAGTGAAAATCGTTAGTACTTAAAGAACATTGACCAACTGCATGTTTCGTTACAAAGAGAGCATAATTAGCTCTCTTATAATTAGATTTAGTGCATAGCAGTGTGTGAAATGTTGAATAAAAAGCATTCTACTGTTTTTGACAGGTTGTGTTCTTTTTATTATTATTATTATATTTTTTTTAACATTAAATGTGGCACCACTGGTGCATTTTATCAAGGTGTTAAAATAACATGATGCATATTGTTTGCGGCATGAAAATATAAAATATCATATATTTTTGCCATATTACCCACTCCTAATACAGAAAAAGTAAAAAGTACTAATGGAGTTCACTGTTTGCATAAAAAAAACATTTGCATAAAAAAAATGCTACAACAAATCGACTAGGTTGGCTGTGACTAACCAATTAGGTTAACCAGTGGGTTTAAAATGGGCATCATCCATTTCACTATAGATATTTCTGTGTTTTTTTTTTTCTTCAAGCCATGATATTTATGTAGAGGAATATTTGTGTCAGTAGTCGTACATTTGTGGAGAGTTAGGTGTGGCTGACCCTGGCTGTGTGACTTTTGACCTTTAGAGCCCATCTGTAGCAGAGGAACCAGTTCATATTGAAGTGGACACAGAGCTTCAGGGGGAACAGGAGTCCCAGGTAGCCTTACTGTGGACTTAAGCCAGTGTTCTGTCTCCCTCTTGCTGCAACAGAGCTAGGATTGTAAAATGAAGAAGAGGACAGAAGCATGATGGGAAATCAAAATTGTGCAATGTATCTTCTTAAAAAGTGCATTCTTAACCAACTTTACTTGGAGAACTTTCTTGATCTTGATGTCCTCTCCTTCAGTTTGTTCCTAGCTAGTCTGTATGAAAGGCATGAATCATTCTGGTTTAAGCTCTTCAGAATAAGCTGTTTCGGTTAGGGCTGTCACAATTATTACATTATCAAGTTTATGTTGTGCTGCAACAAACAAAATGTGAACTAAGTAAATGTGAATGAAAGTAGTAAATTCATTGAGACATCATGTTCTAACTTCTAACATGTTTAGAGGGCAGAGTAATGTTTGTTTATTTGTTGGATATGTAGCTTATTCTAACATTTTTAGTACGTATACTGGCAGAAAGTTTTTTTTGTTGTTGTTTGTTTTGTTTTGTTTTTTGGCCTGTATTTACTCTCTTGTGTTGGACGTCCTTTACTCAGCTCTACACACTTTTATTATTAATTATGAGTATTGATTGGACTGTACAGCCAGTGTTAGCTACTAAGTACACATAGCTAGGAAGTAAGTACTTGTATTATATTAGTTGCAAACAATGAACAAGAAAAGACAAATCATTAATTGCGGTTACTTATATGGCAACTAGGCCTACTCGTCAGATAAAATTTCATGATTGTGACAGCCCTAGTTTCAGTCCCTCTTTATACTTCTTAAGTCAAATTCTAATCCTGACCTTAAACCTGCTGTTAAAATGTCTCCTGGGGTAGAACATCAGTACTGTACTTACCAAAAGTTAAGACAGTCTGATAAGCAAGGTGTTTTTACATGATGATTTACAAGAATATCGGCTTCATAAATAAAAATGTGAATTTTAAGGGCTAGTTAGGGATTGTAGTTAGATAACAAGCCAAAAGTGGGCAGGAAGGCTCCCTAGGTGTTCTAATAGTTAATTATTAAAAGGGTACTTCTGTCACTTTGTAAAATATGTAAATTTGGCAGCTTGTTTTCAAACTTAAGTCAGTTTGATTGCTTAAAATGCTTTCCACTTATCTTACCAATTCCATTTTGCATGTGATCTTACTGCTTGTCCTGGGCTGTGGTGTCTGTGGCCTTTCAGGGGAATTTTCTGCTTTGTTTCAGATGCTCACTTGAGAACATGAGAACCTCTCAGTGTATGTGTTCAGCTATTCATATTTTAGTGTTTTGTAGTTAGACTATCAGTTGGAGAGGTAGACACTGTGTAAATGCTGAAGAAGACCTTGATCTTGAGTAACGATGACCTATGATATTATTTAGTTTATGCTGTTTAAGTTTCTGTAGGTTAGAAAGGTTTTCAGACGTTTTAGGCGTTGCTGTCCAGACCACATTACATTATATAACCCTTGACTTCACTGGGGAAAAAAAGCTTACTGGAAAACATGTAGGCAAAAACCTGGCTTGACTGACTGCCCGTATTGTGAAACTAAACACAATTTTACTGAATCACAGACTCACAAGGGCACACCCAGAGATCTTGTCAACAATTCAAACGCATGTACTCACATGTACACCAGTCCGAGTTGTTGAAATGCCTCGGATTATCATTGAGTTAGAAATGTTGACGTTGAATGTAGGTCATAATGTGTTTGTCACTAATCATGAGACCAAGCCTGGTATGCTAGGCAGCACAAAGCCTAATGTCACACTATATAACACAAGAAAGGACCTTCTCCTTCTTCTTTACAGTATCCTTTTGAATGGTTGTGGCGTGGCTGATGAGTTGTCTAGGGGGTTTTGCTGTGTCAGCAGCTGCTGCATAGCTGGCTGAGAACAGACAGCAACAATTTTCAAAATAAGCATGCATCTGACTGAGATGGCTGTGTTTAGCATTAAATGTTTTTATGAAGTGAAGTAATTGCTTCTGCTTCCTGACAGTGTTTAACATAAATCTTCTAAATTGTCCAGCTTATATGTCTGGCTTATTGAAGTGGCAGAGCCTCATGTTTGAAGGAGTCAGTTGTATCAAGGGGGAGCACCATGTACGTTTCAGATAACTACAATTGTGATGAAATGGAATTTGCTGCCTTCTTAATTTACACTCAGTGGGCAGCCAGTTATTATTACTAAGACTTGAAACTGCACTCAGTCCCACATTGAAATTCTATCACATTCTGAGGTTTCAAACTCATAAAAGCGACACAGATCTCATAAAAGCAATAGCCAAGAAGTTCCTGTTTGGTTGTTGCTCAGCGACGTCTATAACCAAGTGGGACGCATTAGTTACATCTCATAACAGTTTTAATTTCCTGTTTCAGGTCCTATGTCACAGATAAGGTAAAAGACCATATACCCTGAAGGCACAGAAGCCTGCAGTACCCCAGTACCTCTAAATTTGCACTTTTTAATCTGTTTGTCCATTATATTTCCCCAGTTTAGTGGTTCTCGTTAATGGTTTTGGGGTACCACTGCCCTTCATGTTGTAGTGCTTTCCCTACTCCAACACACCCAGTTCACCTCAGGAGGGACTTTAGAATTTGTTGCACTAGGTGTGGTACCCCAGGACCAGGACTGAGAACCACTTCTCTGTTTGAACCATCCTGAAAGTTGATAAATACCAGTATTAATTGGTCAGTACTCCAACAAGGCACTGATGCACCATTTCTATTCCAGATCAGTTGGATGATTATTTTTCATCAGTTGGTCTGATCAGGGTGGTGACAAAAACAAGAAAAAAGCTCAGAATTATTGTACAAACAGAAGAGAGCAAGGAGGTAATCAGCAGTCTACCACATGGGAGAGATCAGTCTAGTCTTGTGCAGCGTTTTGCAGATTGTGTTGTGGTTTCAGGTTGAGTTAGAGGAAATAGCAAACTAGATTGTGATAACCATAAAATCATCCCCAAGTGAAAGTCTTATTATTTGGCTTTGACAGTCTTTAAAACTTAAATGTGTTTTTCCATAAACGACTCGCTCTCAGATTCATGCTGGTTGACAGATGCATATGTCACAATGTGTGAAACGCACTTTGATGAAGAAAACAGGAAACAGCTTCATTACCTATGTACCTCTTTTTTTTTTTTTCTTGTTTATTTAGTCATCAGACTCTGAGGAGGTCTTGCCCTCTGGTCGACGGGCATCTTTGTCAGACCTAGGGTCTGTGGAGGACATTGAGGCTCTGAGTGTGCGCCAATTAAAGGAAATCTTGGCAAGGAACTTTGTCAACTACAAAGGCTGCTGTGAAAAATGGGAACTGATGGAGCGAGTCACACGCCTATATCATGACCAGAAGGACCTGCAGAACCTAGGTGAGGTGACAGTTTTTGTTCTGGAAATGAGGCTGCATGTAAAATTAGGTACTGGGAAGTTTATTTTATTTATTTTTTTTGTAGAAACAGATACAAAATACAAAGAAATGTAGGGCTTTGTTTTATGAGCTTGTTTACTTGCTCATTCTCATAATACTTTATTTACTTTTTTGCAGTTTCTAATACCGGTGATGGAACAGGTGAGTCTTGATTTATGTCTGTTCATTTTAATTGTTTCATATGTATTGGAAGCCCAGTGGTTGATCACAGTTGTTCATATGCTGATAAGAACTCAAATGAGCTTAAAAGGTTTCTTGTGTATAAACGACTTCAGTTTGTAAGTCATTTAGGTTGCATTTATACTTTTATACTTTGTTTTTTTTGGTCCGGAACAAAGCAGAGCATCACACATTGTTGCATTTTACCTCTAGTTCACTTAGTGTTCACTTAGTGTTCACACTAACATATTAATCATCAAACCAGTGAAGGTGAACAGAAGTATTACAAATAGAAGGTCACAATAGATTAGAGATAAGTATCAGTAGGATTTTAGTAATACGGATATTGATACTGATGCTGCTGGTGAATACAATACTTACAGACATTCTTATTGATACTACTCTCTATAATTTGTTGCAAAAAACAAGGACATGGCATGAAAAAATGTAAAAAGATTCAAAATGAAAAGAGATAAAAAGGCTGTGATCATCTCCCTACAGTTGATAATATTAACAACCTTAAGCAATACAAGATTACTTACCCCTGGTTGTCAGGACAGCTCACAATAAGTTCAAACATAGGCTACCAAGCAGTTAGCAATTTATGCTGTGCTAGCTACTGAATTATATTCAGTACTGACTGTTAATATTACTACTTCTGCTCTGCAAAGCTGATTTAGGTTATCGAAATATCCTAATTATTCTTTTAATGCTGGAAACATTTTCTGATAAGGACATTTATACTATCAAACTATTCTACCTATAGTTTTAACACAAAGCTGAAGTCAGCTTCCTTTCCGCCAGCTTTTTGTTTGAATTTTCCTGTTCCATCTTCAGTGGTGCCGCAGTTATTATTATAATGCCTGAGGCATCAGCATGTAACTGCTGCACCATTTAAGCTGGAACTGGAAAATTTGAAAAAGAAGCCAGCATATAGGAAGCTGACTTCAGCATCATAGTTTTAGTGCTGGTAGCATTTTTGCTAAGGTGATTTAAGCTGCTGCATTACATATATTTCGTTTAGCTGAATTATCGTTAAATTTCATAAAGCCAGCCCACACTTCTGAAAGTTCTACACTTTTACAGCACCCCTCCCACTGATCCGGTCTAGCGCGAGCCGTTTGAAAATGCCTGATGTAGAATGAACTAACATTACATAAATACCGATTGCAGCACCGTTTGTTCAGGAACTTGACTGATATTTCAATACTGACCAATCAGGAACCGGTACCAGTTTAGATACCTATCCCTACAACTGATTTTTTGACGTAGGATACGTACGATAACAGTGACAGTGTCCACCAGATTTTCTGAATCATGCTGATCTCTGTTCTGTCTGGTCTTTTTGGTTTTATTTATGTCTTGTTTTATCTGTCTTGTGATATTAGCACAATAAGCCTCAAGACTCCTTACATTACCATGGTCTGGCACAACGCAAAGCAGGGTGAAATCTCTGTAGCAGCCTAGAACAGCTTACTGCTTTTACAAAATAAAGAAACCTTGGCACCTTAATGCATAATGTGGTTTATGTGTACAGTCAAATGTGTATATTGAGTTTTTTCTTATGACTTCAAATGTGTCTTAGCCTCATTTTGAAACTGAAACTGCTGTATAATTACTGATTCAGAGCTTATGAAGAACAAAAACAGAAACAAAACAGCAATGCGAAACTCAGCTTTTTCATGTACCAAGGAAGATCACAAGTTCGATCCCCGGTGATACTACAGCCATCCATAGGGAATTCAAGAGAGCACAATTGGCTTTGCTCTCTCTCCCTCTCCCTCCATCACCCAGCACGATGCTAGCCAGCACAGGCGTCAGTTAGCTGACGTAACAGATTTTTTGGTGGTTAGCATTCTCCTCCAAGCACGTTCAACTGCCCAATGACGTTGCATTAGCATTCTCACCACCTCTAATGAACCACCCTAACAGTGCCATCATACAAGGGTTCATTTTAATCAAACAAAACCTGACAATTCTGAATCTGCCCTTGGAGAACTACAGAAAATATCTTGTTTTCTAGCCTTCAGGTTCTCATGAAAAATAGGATAAAAGCTTCATTGATGCTAGTATATCCTGCTGCTCACTAGGATTTAGGTTCTCTTTAGGCCCCAGTTACATTCATGTCACACATTTTTTGTGTACATCTCTGGTTAATTGACATTTGCAAACACTCTTATTAATAGCAGGTGAATGTAGTGTTAGGAGTTTCGACCAAAGAGTCTTGCTGGTATGGCAATGACATACCCCTTTAACGGGAACTCAAACATTCAGATTTCCATTTGCGATGCAGTGGTGTTATCCACTATGCTATGCAACCACTTTTAACCTGAGGAGAATATCACTGACCACATGTGTAGTATTAATATTGTGGGTCTGTCAGTCTGTATTGTATGCTGTAATATGTTATGCACTCATTGTAAATATTTTGTCTGTCTTCTCCTGTATTCAGACACAACAGGTAGACCTAGTGTGGAAGAAAACTTGTGCAAGATCTGCATGGACTCGCCAATTGACTGTGTGCTGCTGGAATGTGGACATATGGTCACATGCACAAAATGCGGCAAGCTCATGAACGAATGCCCCATCTGCAGACAGTACGTGGTTCGGGCTGTGCACGTTTTCCGATCCTGAACCAGTGCTTGTTAAACTGGGAGCAGAAATAAAGTCGTGTGTGTGTGTGTGTGTGTGTGTGTGTATATATATATATATATATATATATATATATATATATATATATATATATATATATATATATATATATATATATATATATATATACACACATACACTTTTAATCTTAACATATGAACATCTTTGCCACTTTTGTCTCCCCTGATTGACCTTGGTGATCCAGAATTGGTACACTTCCCAGCATATGTTTAGTTGACGTGTGACTGACACCTGGATACACTAGCAATAACAAATTATTCACATATTTCTGTTGTTGTAGAGATGGTGTTGCTAAAGGGTTTGTTAAAGGATTTTTACAATATGTTGCTTTAAACTGCTGCACCTACTAAAGTGCTCGATGGGGTGTGCTGCTGTTAGGCTTTGGGAAATAGTGTTGATTGTGAAAGAAACTCATCTGCTAACAACTCCATTTTAACTCAGAAATGTCAGTAGTTGTATTTTTGTAAAGGTTATTGCCAGCTGATGCACTGGTTGGAGTTGAATGCAAAGGCAAAAAATTGTACTGTTGCTGCTGTATGCTACTGAAATGATTGATGACGATGAAGTTAAACTCATCCTCAAGACTATTTCAGGTCCAAATTTTGGATGTTTTTGTGAAACTGTGATTTTTTTCCCCCCTCTATTCATTTATGAGTGGTCAAGCCAAAGAACAGAACTGGATCCTAACACAGCTTGATCTCTCTCTCTCTCAAGTCTCTTACTTCACACACATAGTTGATTACTTAACAATTGCCTTAAATATACTGAAATAAAGGGAAATTGACTGAAGTCCTGGCAAGGATGTTCTCTCAGTGGTGATGTATATGTCAAGGCACTTTTGAAAATGATTGCTCATAGATTCTTACTGCTTTATGGAAAGAGTGAACCTAACTTTACAGGTTTTTACCTCATCCAAAAGGGTTTTCCAAAAGTGTTGTAATGAAAGTCTGACTTGGAACATTTGCCATAGCTGAAATGCTGAGGAGCTTTTGGGAAACAGAAACTTTGGTTGCATCTCCAGAACAAAACTGTTTCTTTCACTCTTTAAAGACAAACCAAGAGCATATACATGGATTTAGGTTTCTAATAATGACAACAAACATGTAAAACCGTTGTGTCCTGAGACAGAATTGTCATCTAAAGCTGCTTAATATGTGGTTTGTGTTTTAGCATTATAGATAGGTGGATTAGTTCTCAGATGTTGTAGAAAATGGTCTATTCAGTCATATCAGAGAGTCCTAGAGTTGGGACTGAAACTGATTGCGCAGGTTTTTAGCCTTAGTTCTGACTTTTATTGGTATGTGGTACTGATGATATACAATAGGGGTGTCCTATCTTATCCATGAAGGGCCGGTGTGGCTGAAGGTTTTCATTCAAAACAAGCTGGAGCACACCTGATTCCACTTGTTTCATCAGTTGGTCTTAGTCTTCAAACTGCTGATCAGGTGATCACATTTGTGGATAAGATTGGACACCCCTGATATACAGTCTTGAAAAGAGCTTGTTTCTGTGTCAAGCTGGGTAGTGTGTGGACTCTCAAGTTGAATATAACAGAATATAAATAAAAATTTACAATTACAATATTCATAAAATACATTTTGGACTGAATCATCCAGCTGTATCCAGCGACCTAGCAAGAGCAGGCAGATTTACAGCTTCTTATCTCCACACCCTCCTTTGAGGAAGTAAGTGAAATATTAGCACCACTTTAGGACTGGGCACTGACATTACATGGAGGTCCAGATCAGTGTGCCAAAACAAGATTATCTTAGCTCTTTAAGGTGCTCTAAGGTTCACGTGATGGCTAAATGATTAATAATACATCTTGGTGCCTCTGAGTGTTCCAGGATTAGTGGATATAAATGGGCAAAGTTCTAAGCTACTTGTGCTGAAGGACTGAGGTGGAGAGCATTGTAAAAGAAACGTGCCTTTACTTGTTCCACTTAAAGAGCTGAGCGAATGGTGAATATTTCTGTACTGATCCGAGGATGGGTTAACTGATAATGTTCAAGCTGGGCAACCATAGGTCTTTGTACACTATATGTTCAAAAGTATCCAGGCACCCTGAATTTGGCTAATTTAAAATGAACCAATTGTACCATTAAATACCTTGATGAGTGATCCAGAACTCAACCAACATCAGTACCTGACCCTGCTAATGCACTTGTGGCTGAATGTAATCAAATCCTTATAACAATACATCAACAACAGTAGAAAAGCAGTTTCGATACATTTTTGGACATATGGAGTTTCCACAAAAGGGATTTAGACTAGTCCTGTACTATATTTTCCTTTCAACGGAGAATCTTCATTCAAAAAGCTGTGTAGTCTAGGATTTGGCTTAGTTTCTGTCCAGGAAACCAACCCATGTGTACCAGAGATGGTATAACTGTTGATGACCTCAAAAATGGCACCTTAAATCATGACAGATGTTGTGAGATCTCAATTACTGGGTTGTAGTAAGTGTGTAATTGATGGAGTACCATATTCTTCTTAGCATTCTTGTAGGGCTTTTTATTGCTATTCTGTACTTCCTTTGTGAAACTGCCAATCCTGCAGCCAGCCCTTACTCAGGTCTCGAAAGGCTGCTCTAACTGGTCAACTGGTTGCCTGGGGGCTTTACTCTCAAAGGAGGCCCTGCTCCCATGTCTGCTACCCTGTTGAGGAATGACTGGATACTAACACAGGGACCCACACAGTTCTCAGGCGATTAGTCTTTGAAGACGAACTGTTGGTACCTTAATGCCTTAATGCTCTATTTTTCTGTGAATGTGACTTCAGGAAAGAAACTGGGTTTTCTGTGGAATTTGTTTTAACAGGGAAGGAGTGGCTTCAAGATACTTCAGTCCAAGGAATGTTTTGGACTGAGTTTTCTATTTAACAGAGAGAACATGCTTTGATTTTGTAAATGTGTGATTTGATTTGTGTCAGATAATTGTTCCATTTTCTGAACTAGGTGTGGTGTAAAATATTGGCAAAGTCTTTTTGAGAATATAATTTTATTCTTTAAAAAATCTTTACTTAATAACCAAATTGAGATTTCTTGTTCAGACTTGGCAATTTTTGTATTAAAACATATATTCTTGGACTTTTGTAGTTGACTTGTTTTTCTGCCGTTGAAAGAAGCTGTGGTATGTAAAAGCTGAAAGTAGAGCCAGTTTGACCAGTTTACAGGTATGTATTGGTAAGATGACCACAGATGTGCGTGATTTAGTCATTCAGTGTTCAGACTGAACTCTCAGTGGATAAATGTATCAAATGGTCATATGTATGGAGCTTATCAAACAGAGCTAAAAGGCAGACGTGTTCGCTGCACGTGTGCTGGGTGGAGTACTTTTTATCAGGTTACAGGTTATTGTTAACGTGTGAAGTAAATCCAGTGATTCATCTTCCTGAATAATCTCAGAAAAGCAAACATGAAAACCCTGCACACAAAAAAGAAATCTATTAAATTGTTCCTGTATCATTAATCACTAAGTTCTTAAGGATTACTTATTATTTAGTTATGCTTTCAGAATTAAAAAAAAATCTGTCCACCATGTGAAATAACATTCATGCACTTATTGTGGTCACTTGCTTTCATCAGGGTGAGAAAGGCCCAGTGTAAGTGCAATGTAAGAGTGCCTTGGTGTGAAGTGAACTTTTAGTTCCAGCTCATCAAATGGCAGAAAAGTCACAGCTGCAAACTTAGAAATAAAAATCACATTTTGCAATCCATGTCTGCAGTTTATGCTTTCATTTTAATGAGTAAACAGACATTTGCGTGTATTGTTTTGCTTTAGTGTTTAAATTAGCTCACACAACTAATTTTAGTCTCATGGTTGTCATCAGGAAATTATTGGACAGTTTCACAACACTTTCTTTAAAAGTAGTTCACAAACCAATCACATTTTTGACTTATTATTATGCATAAGTAAAAAGAAAGAAAGGTTGAGAAATATTTCAGGGACGTTTAAATAGTAATTTAGCTCAACCGAATCTGAAACTGAACGCGACAACAGTGACACCTGGTGGATGAAAGTTGATTTACAACTAATAGAACCACAGTGTACATTTTAGCAAACCTTTCACTTTTCGGAACACTACATTAACCGTGCAAGTCTGAACCGGTGACTAGAAAAGCAGGAGTTTCTTGCAATTGAATGATCTCGTTTCATCTACGAAGTTACGCATTTTGAGCACAAACATTAAGCAAATGGGCCTTGAGTTCGTAAAATCCGCTGAAATCCTTAGATGATGGCCCTCAAAAATATATTGTACACTCACAAACTCTGTAAAAGCGTCTTGAAAAAAATGTTATAACACTTCTTTTAGGAAAGTCAAGACAAGTTTTACAAGTAAAAGGACACTTAAGGCAACAGCCTTTCTTCCGAATTTGAAAACACAGCTTCAGTTACAACTACATAAAGAGCAATATGTAACTGCAATAGAGACTACATTACAAGTTCACTTAGCCACAAGGGGCGCTGCAGCCCCTCCAGCTCCCCACTGCTCTTGTCTATGGTTGTGTTCTACTTAGATCAGCGAAATGAACTAGATTCTGGCTGAACAGACACCGCAGAGGTGTTCAGCAAACGAATCGGAAGCTGCGAATGAGTAGCTTAACTTCAGCTCAGGAGTTCACCACTATCACATTTACATTTGGCCAAATGAAAGACGTTTGTCGTATATTCGAATGCTGCTTATCCATATATATATATATATATATATATATATATATATATATATATATATATATGTATATATATATATATATATATATATATATATATATATATATATATATAATGTATATATGTGTAACTATTTCCAAACCTCTCATCAGAGGAATTATTTTTTTTCAGTATTATTTGTAGTTATCATCCAACACTGACTCATTGACACTATGCTGTTGGAGTTTTTGAACACCTCAGTGTTACTACTGGACTGAGAATAGTCCACCAACTAAAAATATCCAGCCAACAGCATCCTGTGGGCAGTGTCCTGTGACCACTGAAGGCCTAGAGGATGACTAACAGGAACAGATGATGTTGTCTCTAACTTTACATCTACAAGGTGTACACTGAGTGGACACAGTGTTTAAAAACCCCAGCAGCGCTGCTGTGTCTGATCTACTCAGACCAGCGCTTCACACACAAATAACACCTGCTATGCAGTGGTCCTTACCGTTAATAAATGGGGTAAAGGAAAGATAACAAAGTATGCAGAGAAACAGATGGACTACAGTCTGTAATTGTAGAACTACAAAGTGCATCTATACGATAAGAGGAGCTGATAAAATGGGCAATAAATGTGGAAGAAATAATAAAGTGCTTAGTAAATGTATATGCATTCTTATGAAGTTCCCTTTTAATCAACCCATGGACAATGTGCATGTGCATTACTGTGAAAATAATGTGATTATTAATGGAATTAAAAATGATCAGAGCAGACTTGGTTGATAAATCTGTCCATCTATCACCTCATTTAGGTAACATTGCTTCAGAATAATTAACATATACCTAATAGGCCTTTTGTCTCATATGGAGAGGTACAGTGTTTAGCACTGTAGCAGAAAATTTGTTGCTGAATATAAAGAGCGAAATGGAGCGTTTACCCATATGCTAACACACATACAGAGCAGGTGTGCCCTAAGGTCCCTGTGGTTTCTCTTGCAAAGTGCTTATCAATGTGCCAATCTGCTCCTCTTTAGGCCTAAACTTTTAGTATTCTGTTAAATGTTGAGTTGCCGTTTTTGTTGGTGTTAGAAGTGCCTTAGAAATGCTGCATTATATGCTATACACCTGGTACTGGTACAGTTGTTATTTTTTTAGGCACAGTATGTATTCATACATCCATATATACACTGTGCAAAAGTTTTAGCCACCTGACAAAATACATTTAAAAATACTTTAGGCACATATTTTATCAAAAACAAAAAAAGAATATTATAATACATACAAATAACATTAATGCAATCAGTAGTGATTTTACCTATGTCGATGTGGTTATTTAACTATTTCCAAACTTCTCCTCAGAAGAAAACCCAGTATTATTTGTAGTTATCATCCAACACTTAGTTGACACTGACTCAGTGAAACTATGCTGCTGGAGTTTTTGAACACCTCAGTATCACTCCTGGACTGAGAATAGTCCACCGACTAAAGATATCCAGCTAACAGCATTTTGTGGGCAGCATCCTGTGACCACAGAGGACGGACCAGAGGATGACTAACACAAACTGTGCAGATGAGCTATCATCTCTGACTTTACATCTACAAGGTGGACCAACAAGGTAGGTGTGTCTAATAGAATGGACAGTGTTTAAAACCCCAGCAGAACTGCTGTATCTGATCCACTCATAGCAGTACAGCACACACTAACACACCACCACCATGTCAATGCCACTGCAGTGCTGAGAATGATCCACCACCCTAAATAATACCTGCTCTGTGGTGGTTCTGTGGGGGTCCTGACCTCCACAGAAGAACAGGATAAAATGCGCTAAGAAAGTGTGCAGAGAAACAGATGGACTACAGTCTGTAACTGTAGAACTACAAAGTGCACCTTTATGGTGAGTTCAGCTGTACTTAATGAAAGGGTTAGTCGGTGTGTGTATGTATAGATAGATAGATAGATAGATACTTTATTGATCCCAAAGGAAGTTTAGCAGCCAGTAGCAGTCACACAACACAGGACAGTAATAGTAATAAGGATGTAAACAATATAACAGGAAGAAGAAATATAAACAAAAATCCTATCTACAGACATATATACAAATAGAAAAATACAACAACCTGGAATAATATCTTTAACCTGAAATGAAAAGACGCAGTGCAATAATGACTGTACAATGAGGCACAGGTAACGGCATATAATGACAATACTGAATAAATATGTGCAGATATTGGTACCAAAATAAAGTGTCTACTGAGGAGTGTCCAGATGTGCAAGATGTGCAATAAGGTGTGCAGAAAGTGCAATATGTGCAGCAAGGTGAAGATATACACAGGAAGCAATTTGTATTGTATCCTACTTGTACAAATCTTATTTCTTGCTTTCTCTCCTGTAGTAAAATTACTGCACGCTCCTGTACTGAAAAGCATTATTAATATCCCTCCCATACTCCCTGATGGCTTACCATATGTTACAGCAAATTACCTCTGCAAGCCCAAATAAAGCAGCAGCTCTTCCTTATCCCAAGTATTTTATAATGTAACTCAATTTTTAAAAACAAAATTTTAAAAGTCTAAAAATGAAATTTTAAAAGTAAAAAAACAGCTTTTTAGGTAAAGTTGTTTTAAACGTTCTTTTACGTTTTTTTTAATCAAGTTGCTTTTTTATTCAGTTGCCTTATTTTAAGTTTGTTTTACTTTCAGTTGGCTCGGTTTTTAAATTAAGTCAAAGTTAATTAAGCTTCATATTTTACACTCATTTACTTTATTTACTTGCTGTCTAGCACGCGACGCCTTTGTGCTGTCATACAGTTTGCACGTTTTTACGTCTCGTTGAGCAAACAGCCAATCGGCTTGTAGCTAGCGCCTTACGTCATACGCGGGCTCGGCCAATCAGAGAGGAGAGCTGCCTGCCACCGCCAAGCTTGTGTGCAGAGTTAGGTTCTCAGGAAGTGGAGCCGAGGGCCGAGAGGGGCAGACAGCGGAGAGGGGTTTTCCTACTTAAAGTTGTCTTTTTGGGGTTCTGCGCTTCATTTTCGGGATCTCTCAGGTCGAGTACACGGTTTGGACCTCCCGTACAGTACAGGTGGGTGTGTTTTGCGGCGAGCCGCTGTGGGATGTGGATATTTGCAGGCTGAGTGAAGTTAATGCTCGATTCGGCTGTTCGTTTAAAGCGCTGCTCGGACGGACGGCTAAGTTAGTTAACCTACGTTAGTTAGCTGCGGCCATATCACCAACTTAGACTCTGCAACTGAGTTTTAAAATACTCTGTGAACTGACGTTGAAGTCCAAAACAAACCTCGTTTAACTCAGAACGAACGAGAAACAACACCCGCCAGCTCGCTAACTGAACATATTCGCTCGAGTTTGGTAGGATTTGCAGAGCCACGGTTTAATGAACACAACAACAGTGTCGTTAATTTGGACGCGCTGCACCTGATGGACAGCTAGCAAACTAGCAGGCTGGGTGTGATAGAAATATATATATCATGTTTTATTTAATGCTTTAGGGTATGGCCAAATGTTCAATTATGAAAGTGAAAAAAAAGCTCTCAGTGGAGTCTATAGGGTGGCTCAGTCACCACCCCGGGGCTTATGTTTAAGTTCCTATAGCTCCTGGTTAGCTAAGCAACTCTCTAAAAGTCACTTAAAGCGAAAGCGTTTAACGTTAGTTATGTGTACATTTTTCCAGAGCTACAGCGCTGCTCATGGTAAGAAATACAGCCACGGTTACCGGGATGTGTTTCAGGGTATCTCCGTGTGTTTATAACGCTCGGCAGTTTGCTGTGTTTATGGTTGCTCTGTAAAGAGAGCTGGCTGAGCTGCTGCTGCTCTGAGCCGGGCGTTGCTCTGTCAGCTTGCAGTTTGCACATTTCCGCTCATTTTGTAGGGACCGTGTGGACATGACTTGGCCTGTTGTTGACTAGATTAAAACTGAATTTGTAGCTGTGTTTTGCCTTTACAAATTCTAAGGCTGCATGAGTTCTGTTGCATATTCGTGCATTTCCCTCTGATGTTATTTAGGGCAATAAAACAATACAATACTCTTACAGGATTTCTGTAGTGTTTTGTAATATTTCGGTTTTGCTTAATATTCATGTTACTGTCTTATAGTATTCTATAATATTTGTGTGGTGTCCTGTAGTAAACTATAGTAGTCGTTGTCTAAATTTGCTATAACATTACTGCAGGACAAAGGTGCTACCGCTATTATGTAGCCTGTCTTACTTCTGTAGGGAGATTTTATGACACATCAGCTGTAAATTCACTGACATTTCATGCTGAACAAAAACTGACCTCCGGGTTTTATGCCTGGTTTGCTAACATGGACTTTGCTAAACTAGGACTGTTATTGGATAGTATAAGGGTTAAAGCCATTTAGTTTCATTTTGTTGGCTAAGGGGGATTTACAGCTTGGGAGATAGCCCGTTAAAGCTTAGTAACTTTTTACCCCATTTAAAGTTACTGTGCTTGTGGTCAGTGTTGGTGGCTGATGGTGAAAATAAATCATTATGGGTTTCATGTTGATCATTGCTCCTAGAGCTCACTAGCTTACCAAAAATAGCCCTGTTCCAACTGAACCCAATCTTGTTTAGTTTACTTATGGAATTTTTTGGCATAACCAGCTACTCAGTCTTTTGAAGAAACTGTTTAGGGATTTGATAATGCATTGTGAATATTTTCAGTCGTTTACAGTCTGTTATCTATTCTCTATAATAATACACCAATGAGGTATGACCTAAACATAAGGATTTAAAGTCTGAAATCAAAGTTGACCTTGTTAACTTCTTTTCACATAATCCTCTGTCAAGATGCCTCTGAAACATCTTATTGATTACATGCCTATTGGGAAAAATAATCTTTTCACACCAGTTCCACCTGTCATAGAGTGAAAGTGCTCAGCTTGCTCAGAGACCCTACCTGACACCTTGTTTTATGCTGAAATACAGAAGAAAAATGTGTAGTGCCTTCTGATTCATGGTGACTTTAAATAATCAGGCAAGATATGAGCTAGTCGACATAGCATCTAAGTGAAATGCCATATAAGTTAAAGGTTGCTAGCTGGGTGGTCTAGCTGTTCTCTCATTTTATATCTGGGTAAATGTAACGCTTGCAGCAACTTATATGTATTTGTAAAAAAAAAAAATACTAAGTACAGAATTTTGTTTGCCAAATACATCAATTTATCAAGCAAATTCTTGACTATATTTACCCTACGTGAAGTCTGATAAAATCAGGGTGTTACTGTTATAATTCACATACTGTTCACAATATAAATACTTCATTTTTGTGAACAGATATATCATGAAGTGTGCTTTAGTCTGTCTTTAATATGCATCAGCATGCGGACAATCATTTGAGAGTGTAGGATTGCACTTTTTTCTGGTGTTCACTGATTAGACTGATACACTTGTAGAAGACCTTTTGTTAGAATCCTAAATTGTGCATGAGAAGGTATTTGGTGTATTAGTGAAGAAAGATTATGAGTAATGTCTGTGGCTTGTGGCTGGCTTAATGTACTGAATGTGGAGTGCATGCTGTCAGATTTGAAGCAGACATCTGTTGGGTTGGTCCTATGCAAACAGCCAACAGCCTGTACATTTAATCCCTTGTGTGGAGGGGAGGGGAAACAAGCCCCCCCACCAGGAGCTCGTAGAGTGACAGGTGTCTTCCCCCCTCGCTGGTACTTAGCACCTCGGGAGCGTGACCATGTTTGTGTGTGGAGAGAAATGGCGGAAGAGCGGCAGATTTCACCAGTGTGTAGCCTTTGCTGCAAAATATTCAAGTGTTTACAAATCAGCATTAGGCATAACCTAAGATGCCTATAAGAGTTGTACTCCTACACACACTCTGTACCATGCAAAACCAAAATTTCCTCCTTTTTTAAATACATGTTTGAATTTGTATATAATCTTTTTCGGTGCTTCAAAACGTAACGTTCCCTCCCCAGTCCATGCAGTGCACAAAATGAGGCTGCAAAAACAACCCATTTTGATTATTTATTGATTTTGTGATGTCACAAAAAACAATGCATTTACATATATCCACCCTTTTACATTGAAGTCATGAGAAGTGTTTCAGCCTAGAATGAGGCACAAATTAAGACATCATTTGTGAACCTCAGAGAAAAAATGCAAGAAAAATGTAGCAAATGGGCCCTTTTAAAGAACCATCCACAGAAAGGTTATTTAGGAAACCAAAGGTGATTATTCTATAGCATTACTCCAACATACTCTCCTTTACTTCTAGGAGTGTGCTGCTTAAAAATTTCCTGATTCTGATTTGGTTGTCATGTGTCAAGGAAATCGAGAGTGTGGTAGGGGTTGTGTGCTTATGCGTGAATGACAGTGGACCAGAGGAAGACTATGCGTCTCTTTTGGCGCCATTTCCCAGCTGTCTTGCTCAGTGCTGCGTACTCTAGTGTCACTGTAACATGTCCCATGGGACGTGCAGGCGCTGCAGACACTCGGGTGTTTTTGTGTGAGCTTGTGCATATGAGCCCGTGTGCAGAGGGAGAGAACATAACCTTGATTCACAGTGCAACATTACACAGGCCGTTCTCGAAAGCAGTAGCTATGGCATTGAGTTACTGAGGCCACTATGATCCAATTGTCCTGGGGATGATGACCCCCCTGGCAAAGTAACGTCCCCTGCACATCTCCAGAAGAACTCATACTGACCCCAGAATGTTGCAAAATAAAGTTTTAGTCAAGCCTGTTCTAATAAGCCCCCTGGGATCATCCTTTGGCAGCTTTCAATACAGATTCTCTTGCAGTATTTCTAGGCTTACTCAATGACGCCGGATGATACAGTAATAAACATTAGGTGGGGATATTTGCAGGATGTTGCGAGATAGCCTTACTAAACTAGGGCTTACTTTAGTCCTACTTTATTTGCCTCATTCTAGCAGAGGTTTGCAGCAACATTGTTAACACTTGATTTAACCTGGGTAAAGATGGAGCTGCTCACCATGAACGTGTCCTTGTCTCCACTATAGAAAATGAAAGCAGCTGATTAGCAGTAATAACTACTCCTACATTCACTGTTTGGAAGCACCAGTTGTTTTTTATATTGTGTGAACGTTACATAATGAATGGAGTTATAGTTATAGTATTGTTTAAAACCTTGTTAGGTTGATGTGCGCTTACGTTAGGAATGTTCTTTCCCCTCCTCCTTGCACTGGAAATATAATGTTACAAACGTGATGATACACATGTGTATATATGTGTATGTATGTACGTATGCGTGTGTACATATATCCTCTACAGATGATCCAGCATGTGGGAGTTGGGCTTGACCTAATCCCAGTGTCCTCCCCCACCTTACGCTGCCCTCTGTGTATCCCATGCTAATCAGTCGGCCTGTAGAGGCGAAGGGCTTCCTGGTCACTCACCATGATATATTAATGGCTTATGGAGCCCATAATGCCTTGAGAGTACCTTCAGCTGCATTTATACTGATGCAGATAATGTCAGCCCCCAGAAGATGGTGAATGTGCCCAAGGTCTGAAAACATTCCATCTACTTTCAGCTGCTAAATGCATTGCTTGACACATATTACAGATATGTGCAAGGCAAAGTATACTATGATAATGCTGGATGACCCTGTTGCCATGGTGACAGACTGAGCTGTGCTAGTGACAGATGGAGGGGGTCACGGAGTGGAGAGAGTGAAGGTCCATCTCAGACAGAGAATACTGCACCCCAACACTGCCCGCCACCCTCCCAAATTCAGTAAAACTCACCCCCACCCCACCACAGTGTAGCCTAGCTTTTCACAACTCCCCCTCCAGGCTAGTGGAGTATAATGGGCCATAGTTAACCCTTTTTCTCCCAGTTCAGCACAACCCCTCTGTTTCTATAGCTCTGTACCCTTTTTTTTTTTAATTTTTTTTTATTTTTTTATTTTTTTTTTACAAAAGCCTATGACCTCCATTGGCACATTGCTGGCTCATTTTGGCTTAACTACCCCTTCTAACTGCTAAAAGTGAAACTGATGTAGTTTCAAAGGTTTGGGTATTTTGCTATATTAAGGCAAATCCAATTACGATCTTTTATATTGTGATTTGCACTACTTTTGTCAAAG